TAATTTTGGGCTGGAAAAGTGGGGCTGTCTTGTACATGGGGGCATCTTACTGTCAGAAAAATACGGTAGTTTTAAAGTATAAATAATAATCTGTTAGGGCTTCACATTTAAATTGTTCCTGTTTTATTCAAACAGACATGCAGTTAGAAGTAGAAGTACTTAATGTAATCAACTAATGTAACTAACTAAAATCAACACACATATATTATTTGGAGTTTAAAAAATAAACAAAATATGTACATTTCCTGAAATATAGAAATAATTTTTTTGCTCTGTGTAATTTTAGTTTACTTTTTGTCAAGTTTCTGTTAAATTATCTTCTATGAATAATTGAAACTTATTGGCTATTTAAAACACCTAGCTCCACTGATTTTCTTCACAATTTTCAACAACTAATCTTCCAAACAGGTCAAAGGTTGAAAAGCAGAGAAAAGCCTCACAAAGAAAGTAACAAATAACCAACAACTGTAATCGTAACAAGCAGAGCAAGCCCATGCTGAGAAGACAGCTAAGTAGGAGCAAGACTGAATGGCAAATAAATCTCCAGTCTTGAGAAGAGATGGCCTACAGAATCCAAACAGGGATTTCCTCATAGACATTCATCAAAAGAACAGCATGCGAATCAGTAATTAACTTCATCAACAGTTTTAAAACTGCAGTGGACCTGCTGCATTTCTGAAGTAGACGTATTCTTCTGAACACCAAATAAAATAAAATCTGAGTCAATATCAGATTCCATAATATTGAAACACACTGTGAAGTGCCTTTGGTTGGCTTTTGACATTCATTTCTCTGATATCATTTTTTCCAGCCTCACTGAAGTGAGGAAAAATATATTTCAATTCCTTATCAACCTTGAGCCATTTACCACAGTTTAGGGCAGGAGTAAACTACTGTGCCTTTTTTGTACCCTTCAGCCTCTGCAAAGCTTGCAGAAACAATTTTGCCCCTTAAAATCCTCCCTTTTTTGCTCCACAAAATCCAAAATAATGCCTTGCTTTAGGGTGAGGAGTATAGTAAATAGGCTAGCACTCTGGCTGGTTCTGCAAAGATGTAGAAAAAGTGGTGCATTCCACAGAATATTGCTAATGATATCACTGTGGTGAGTGATAGTACAGAATGAGAGTCTTCATATTATATTATTGTGGCAGGGTATAAGTGTGATATAAACAAACAAGCAATCAAGCAAATAAATAAATTTTATTGCTAGGGTGCCATCACTGATACACTGCTATGGGTCTGAGGATGATGCCAGTAACACAGGCTTTCAGTCATGAATATGAGCAAAACTATGAAAAAGTATATAATAGTCAGATTACCGGTTATTGACCTGCCCCTGACATATAATATGAGTTGTCATCAGAGTAGGAAAAGTTTTGTCTTACACTTGTAGAGGATTGGAATAAGAGCTCTGATTTCAATTGTGAATACTTCTGCTAAATTATGAACTCATACGCTTGACAATCTTGCTAAAGCCTTGGTGGCTGATGCACATATGTCTAGGACCTTTTATAATCTTACCATCAAGAAATATCTGAAGAGAACTTTGAAAGTCAGCAGACATTCGTGCAGAATGAGAAGCTGGCTTAAATTTATCCTTTTCACCATCTTTGCTTCTCTTCTTTCCAACTTCTTTTTGATCTGGCTTTTCTAAAAAAAAAAAAAATCAGTACACTAACAAATACTACAATACTTTGTCACAGACTATCCAGCACATCTTCTCTCAAGCAATAGATAGTACTGAAAACAATGGACTCAGCTATCCAAAACTCTGTTCCTATTTCTGATAAAAGGAAGTTCAAGGGTACATAAAATAAGGTTCTGTTTTCAAGCAATTAGAATGCTAATGAATCTTTGCTGATTGCTTTGTCTATACCCTATCCAGATATATTGCAGAGAAAGAGACAGAGAGATAGCGAGGAAAGAAAAACAAAGGAAAAGAATATATTTCAAGCATCTAAGTCCCAGCCCTTTAAAGATTTTAAAAGTGATAACTAAAAATATTTTGGAGAGAGAAACAAATTGGAAGCAACTGAAGATGATAAAGCTGCAGAGTCCCTTTTTTTTAAAAAAATGGCCTCAATCAAAAATTTTGCTGTCCTATTTTCTAAACAACTTTCAAAGAAAACTATATTGTTGCAGAAATTCACTCTAGCTATGTGTGGGGATGGTAAGATTCATGTTCTCTAGGAAAGAGCACAGCTGGTAGTTTCCATGACCTTTGTGCACACATATATACATATCTTTAGTGTAGATAGAAACAACAAGAAGTGATTTTTTTCTCTCCAAAGCTAAATGTATGCATCATGCTTCTATAAAATATTAAATAGCTGCTCTTAAATGGGAAAGAAGCAGTGCAATACAAAAAGACAGGAAGGTACCAGCTAGGATGACAAACAGCAAAAATGAGATCTCACTGGGCATCAAAATATTTTATACGTTATTTTGGTCAATATACTAAAAGGCTGGTGTCTGCACAGCTGCTGGCATTTCTGGAAGATACTGATTATCTTGACCTTTTTCAATCTGATTCAGATTTGATTTAGGGACAGAATCAGCCATAATGATCCTGATAAATGACTTGTGGGAAAGAAGAGTGTAATTCTGATGCTCCTGCTTTACCTCTTGGCAGCATGACCATGGTATTCTTCTGGATTGTCTTTGCAATTTGGGATTGTGGACATTTTGTTACATGGGTCCTGCTTCTATATGTAGGAGCAGTCACAGATAACAATACTTGGGAACTGTGTTTCTATAGCCAACAGCTATGCTATGGCATGCCATATGGCCTATTTTGTCTCTACTGCTGCAACATTTATCTGTTGGGTAGTTATCGGGGATTTGGAGTTGGTTATCACCAATATGCAGTTGATACTCAGCTCTGCTACATCTGAATCAGTAGAGGGTGTGAATGTTCTGAACTCAGTGTTTCGATGTAATGATGGGGTCCACGAGAGACAATAAAGCGAGACTGAATCCCAACAAGACAGAAACCATTCAGGAAGTGGGGAGTTTGGGTTTGCACACCCTCAAACAGACCAAGTATGTAGTTTGGGTGTGTTCCTAGTGTCGCCACTGTCATTTAACAGTGGTTAGTATAGATAGTCCTCGCTTAACAACCATTCGTTCAGTGACCATTCAAAATTATGACAATGTTGAAAAAATGGACTTATGACCCTTGCTCAAAGATATGGCTGTTGCAGCGCCCATGTGGTGACGGTATCAAAAGTTGGGTGCTTGGCAGGCTATCTGCATTTATGACCACAGGGGCGCTACAACTCCCCCACCCGCCTATCTCCCCCCATCTGCCCCTTTTCGTTCCTGCCCTAAAGCTGTCGTCCCGTCATCCCATTACTTCCCAAAGCTGTGCATCCCATTCTTGTGATCCTTTGGAAACCTTCAGGTCTTCCCCAATTCTCATGAGAATGCAACACCATATGACTTTGGTGAAGACATACAAGGCATTAAACAATTGTGGAGCAGGATACTAATCAGATTGCCATTGCAGTAATTTTGCAATTACTGACCTGGTTGATTACTGAAATTATGAGGAGAAGTCATGTATACTGAAAGCATCTGGGTGGGCCATTTCTTTAGTAGCACCCACCCTCTAGGATGTTCTCCTTGCTGAAAACTGGGAGGTGCTTACTATGATATCTTTTAGGCAACTGTTGAAATAGGCCTTTCTAAGTATGAAAGTATTTCTAGTATCTAGTATGAAATGTATTTAATAGTAAGATTATACAATATTTTAAATACTATTTTATTTACACACACACACACACGAGCCACTATGAAAGACTAGGGAGATGTAGGTTCTAGTCCTCCATTAGGCACAGAAGCCAGATGGGTGACTTTAGGTCAGTTTCTCTCTCTCAGCTCTAGACTAAGAAATTGAAAAATATCTATCTAGTAATCCACACTGAAGCAGCATGGTAGGTTATGGTACCTAACCTTCAATGAAGAGGTCTTTGTTCTGTAGTTTACTGATTTGGGTTGATTAGTAATAATATTACATATATAACAAAATATATATGTAAAATGACCAATGCTTCATATTATCTCCTCATCTAAACACTGCTGCTTGTTAGAGCAAAATAGTTTGGCTTTCTTTGGTTGCAGACTATTATATAGGAATAAAAGTCAATTCATTTGTTCCAGGATATGCCAAAGTTTTATTTATAATTAAGAGAAAATCCCCAATACATTTTGGACCTAATGTCCCTTTATTACATAAAACTAAAATATCCAAATCATAGATAATAATATTTACATTCTAAAAGTAACTTAAAATACATATCATCTGTATATTCTAGAATTCCCTAAATTCAATTTATCAGGAGGAGTCTGGTAGCACCTTTTTAGTTAAACGGATTTTATTAAAAGATAGACTTTCATGAATTATAGCTTATGATCAGATGCATGAAGTGGCTAAATTGATGTAAGATTTCAATTGGGGTGAGACAAGGGTCCTGGTTTCATAGTTTGGTAGTCTGAAAAGGGGCTACCAGATTCCTCCTGATTTTTGGCTATTGTAGACTAATACAACTCTCCTACAATGTCCAAATTCCATTTAGATTAAAAATCCATCTTTTAAGGTAGCATATCATTTATAGTTTGTATAATCATACCTTTCCCAGCTTTCTCAGTTTTTTCTGGCTTTTCTTGTTGCTTAACTATAGGCATAGTATCATTTTTTATCTCAGATCCCTTTAAATCTTTTTTTGCATCTTGAACTGATACTTTGGGTTCAGGAAGTGATTCTTCTGGTAACTTAAATTCTGGCACAATGTCTCTTATGAATTCCCAAATTTTATCCAAATATCCAGATCTTTAAAAATAATAAATACAATTATATTTTAAAAATAATGCCTGCAAATATATGGTACACCTGGCAGTTTTATTCTTTGATCTTGGGGAATCTGTTAAACCTGTTTTTAAATACTGAGAGAAAAAAAGCATTATAGTTTGCTAAAAGGTAAGAAAATGGTTAAAATGTATAACATCAAATGAGCGGAAGTGACTAAAATTCAGACATATGCAAAAAAACAAGTGTTAAAAACATCACAATATGAAAATAAGATAAAATAAAATAATAAAACACACTGTCCTGGGGACAAAACACAGACCTCATATCATTTACCATGGACTCATATACCTGGCCGCATGCCTAGGGGAAGAACTTAGTTTTCAAGGCCTTCTTAAAGGCTCGTAAGGTCAAGATCATCTGACTCTTGGGGAGGGGCATGGTTCCACAGGGGAGCTGCTGCAACAGAGAAAGCATGCCTCCTGAATCCTATAAAAAGATACTGTTTAATTGAAAGGACTCAGAACATGCCAACCCTGTCAGAACTTGTGGAATCATGGTATTTTTACCCAAAGGCCAGATGATCCAAGTACAAAATAAATACAGAATTCAGCACATGCAAAGAATAATTAAAAAAGATACGTTATAAAAGTAGAACTTACTGGAGAGGAATAATTTCTGGTATCCATCCAGTAAGTGCATGCAGAATTGTAAATTCTCCTAGTTCTCTTTTTCCAGTCTCATTTATACTATGAAAAATAAAAATATGACTATAAACATATGAATATTCTATTCTGATAAACTGTATCTCTTCATGTAAAATCTTCACTGCCAGAGTATTTTATTTCCATACAACCAGCAGAAGTTTACTTGCTGTGTACTGTAGTTATAAATAGTTGAATATCTATGGATTCTTATCTTCTAACATATCACACATATATAGGGTTCCTACTGTTTTAGATTGTGCTAGCTGTTGTAGAAGTTATATAACAGCTAACACAATTCAAGTTACAGGTAGCCCTCGACTTATGACCGTTTGTTTAGCGACCGTTCGAAGTTATGATGGCATTGAAAAAAGTGACTTATGACTACTCCTCGCACTTATGACTGTCACAGTGTTCCCATGGTCATGTGAACAAAATTTGGGCGCTTGGCAACTGGCATGTATTTATGACAGTTACAGCATCCTGGGGTCACATGATTGCCATTTGTGACCTTCCCAGCTGGTTCCTGACAAGCAAAATCAATGGGGAACCATGTGATTCACTTAACAACCATGTGATTCACTTAATGACTGCGGTGATTCACTTAATGACTGTTGCAAAAAATGTAAAGTTGGATGCAGTCATGTGATACCTCGCTTAATGACTGCACTGCTTAACAACAAATTTTCTGGTCCTTATTGTGGTCATAAGTCGAGGACTACCTGTATACAGATATAACTATAACATGTACTAGCATTGTTTTAGTTCTTTTTTGTTTGATAAACAATGCCTCTAGAAGCCATTCCTCCCAAATAAAAAAAGGTTTGAAATTTAAACTGCAACCGGAGCTACAGAAACAGCATGAGGTTTTCTACTTCTTTCTTCCTATATCATCCTACACATAGCAAAGGTTTACTGCTAATATTTGATGGGTTCTCCACATATGTATGAGTGAGGGATCAGAAAATCAGAAGAGACCCCCTAAGACTTTGATTATTTTATTTGGTAATACTAATATATATTGCCTTCTATTGCAGCTGGGAAGCTTCCATTGTTTAACAAAAGGTTCAAGAAGATAATTAGTTGATTAATTCAGAACAAACAAGCATCCTCTCTGTATTAGGTTCTGGCTTTGCTTGTTTTTTATCTCAAAACAGACAGAAGGAAGCTTGGAAAACATACTCATTGTTTGCTAGTTTAATGATGGCTTTGGATAATATCAGTGGCCAAAGTTCAATTTCACATGTTGTAGTTGGAAGCAGCATGTAATTGTCTTCACTGAAAGGTATACTGTCATCCACAATGATCTTTCTCCAACTTCCCTACAAAAAAAGAAATTAAATATTATGGAGTAGTAATGAGAAATAGAGTCACTATAAAAATCTGTGTGACCTTCCCAAAGTTTGACACTCATAATTTTACTAAATAGAAAGAACAATATGAAATCCATCTACAAAACAGATGTACAATACAGCTAGTAATTTAAAAATCATCTACAGGACAGTACTGATGAGCTATTCCTCAACTGTCAACATCCATGTGGCTTTTGCCAAGACAAGAATATGCTTTTAGAATTAAAATGACTAGCCAGCACATTCTCTTGTTATAAAGCATAACAAGCAAATAGCTTGACATCATTTTTAACTAAACTGAAATGCACAGGGACAGTGTGGATTAATCAGTATGGATTAATTTGACTGAACACAGCCAAAAAGACAAATGGAAGGTAATGATGGGTGACCAAAGCAAGGATGACTGGTTGGGTACTTGTATGTATGCTAGAAGGAAGTATCTGGAAAATTACCAAGAGTGCCCAATGCAACTGATGAACATTATTCAAGTGACCCAATGCTGGCTTTTTTCATCATCCTACTAATATTGTGATAATTGCACTTTCCACTTAGCCTCTCCCTATATTTCTTGCCAATAAAAGACTATTTTTTACAGGAAAACTATTTCCACAAACATGTTTCAATGGAAAGAGATAATACTTGCATCTACAGTATATTCACTAGAGTCATGCAGTGCCATATGTTAAACAAGCTTTTTTCAACCAGGGTTCCAGAGAACCCCAGGGTTCTGCAAGAGATCATGATTAAAGAAAAAATAAGCATCATTTTTTGAACTTCGCTAGCGCTCATAGTGGTGGGAATTTTTATGCGCTCTGACTCAACTGCTGGCCTGCTGCTTTGCTGTTGTTGTGTACATTGTAAAATGTGGATTGTCTAGGTTCGAACTGAATTATATTGTGAAGTTTTCATATTTTTGTGAAAAAATAATTATAGATATAATAATTTTTATGAAGGGGTTCCCTGAGACCTGAAAATTATTTCAGGGGTTCCTCCAAGACAAAAAAGATTGAGAAATGCTCTGTTAAACAGAGACTTGGTATTTCCCTGAGCCAAATGTAGACACAATAAAATAGCATAAGAAAATAATTGTTCATTTTAAAACATTTAAGAGAGACTAAAATAAGGAGGCTGTACTTCAAAGGCTACTTTAAGAGACACTATGATTTTATACTGCATATATCTGTGATAGTTTTTTTCTAGTGACTGCACTATAAGCACCTTTCTGATTACAGGGATATATGATAGTAGACTACTGGACTACTCATAATTTCCTGAAATACGTAAATGTGCATGGCTTTGATGCGTTATAGGAAACACTTTAAGTAGGGCTGTGCAAAACATTCAGAAGGGATGAATGCTTCATGAAAGCCTTTTCAAACCCACAAAGCAGCTGTGCCATACATTTGAGGTGTGGCTACCTCAATACTCTGAGCACACGTTTACACAGCTCTAACCTTAAATACATGCATTTAAAAGTGCATATATTTAAGGTTTACTGTAAAGTGACCAAAGTTAAGCAATCATACCTAAAATACACAGTATATCTAAACTTCTTTGCATTTTGAAATTCTTATTAATTCTTGGGATTATACATACATGTAATGATATAAAGACTTTGTGCATTAAGTTCAGTTCTTATGCAATAAGAGATACCCAGTAAGATATACAATAACAGTTAAACAGTAATATAATTTCTTAATAGCAGTCACTATTTCCAAATATTCCTTTTCTACTGGTAGTTAAAAAAAAGTTCAATAAAATTCATTTAACAATCTATAGAAAAAGCTAATACATAATACACAGATAGATGACCACTTACCATCCAGAAGAGTTTTACCACATATTTTCCATAGCTATTATACAATGGCATATGCCCCTTGATTGCTTTGCACAATGAGTAGATGTGTTCCCATGGCTTCCACAAAACTGGAGGTACTTCATTAGCATTAGTTTTAGCTTCAACACTTAAAGCAGTTGTATTGTGTAATTTCCAAACTGCATATATTTCACTTATTATCCATCTCATCAACTGAAGAGGGTAATACGGAGAGGGTATAGAGGAAATAAGAAAAGTTAGCTGAGCTCTGGTAAGAATATATACATTCAAATTCTTCTTATGAATAAATGATAGTGGACTATATGTACCACTCTGATAGATTCTATATATCTCTTCCTGCAATATCGCTGACCTGGATAGCTCCTAAAGCTAATGCACTGAAAGTGCAAAGGTTTGAACCCACAGAACATCAGCTGACTATCTACATCTTACGAATCCTAAATAGGACAGAACTGGTCATGTAGTACCTCCTGGGGTCAATGTAACTGAAAACACTGCACAGGATATACACTGGGTAAAAATAGAGAAATTTTTCCCCTGTCCAAGGAGGTGGAAGCCATGTAAAACCCTGTATATGGGGGCATGACATAATGTAACATCCATATCTCTTTGAGAGCCTAAGGGAAGATAGACTGTATATACTATTCTGGTAGATGGTATAATGGCTAATATGCTTGTTATATATATAAAAAAGAAAACTCCATCTTTTCTCTGTCTCAACTTGTACATCCAAATCCTCTGCCTATCTCAATCCTATCATGCTTGTTTTCTTGGGTTTGCCTTAATCTTAGAGTTGCTGAAGAACAAAAGCAGTGAAATTAAAAAATGGAAAACTGGCTAGTTAACAGTCAGTCTTTAAGTCAATATTACCATGATGATCAACTCTATCTAATCATTTTCTGTACCAGCTCATAAGGAAGGAACAAACTCTTTTAAATCCTATCTGTGTATCTGACTGTTTTAGTGCCATGGCACCACAGTCAGCTCTAAGTCAGTCCAGCAAAAAAGGTTAAATAAATAAATAAATAAATAACTTCTGTACCACACACAAAATTCTGCTTTTGCATCTTAGTTCTCTTGGTGAATGACTCTAGTTATAATTTATAAAATGTCATGATTACATTCAGTTTTGTCCATTAAATTCAAGGTAGCTTACTGCATTAAAAAAAAAAAGGTAAGATATAAACGAACACAAACAAGGTAGAATTCAGATGTAATGGTAAATCATTTAGTATAAAGCATTGTCACACCTAGACAAATTGAATAAGATGATGAGGAAAGCAATGAAAAAAAGAACATCAGTATAAAATTGGCAGTTTTGTAGGGAACACTCTATTATTATTAATAGAGTTAGCTATTATTGAATTAAGTAGAATATCTCTATTAGGGATGTTAGGTATCTCTGCTCAGATTCTCAACAAAAGTGGATTTTAGAAGGCGGCCTGTAAGACATGAATGATTTATGGGTGTAAATATGAGTATATGGGTACAAAAAGTGCAGTTTGGGAGATACAGAAGGGCTTACTAGGATACTTTTTTTAACCCCTATACCTAACCAGAGTTTGGGGCTCTTTATTTGCTTTTTTTTTAGTCTGGATAGATATTAATGGCAGAAACCTTTTAGAGTGCCTGGCCTTGCTCACTTGAAGTGAAGCCCTCAACATGCCACATGAAGCTTGGTAAAGTCTTTGTGCTGGGAAAAGATGCACATTCCTGGTTTAGGAAGTTTTAAACATTTCATAGAATATTTGATCCAAACAAATTGGAAAAAAAATTGTGTGACAGTCATGAAAAGCCCTGAATGTTCAATTCAGAGGGGGACAACTTTTTAGTTGCCAAGTACTATAATTAATCTTTTTTGAATGGCTGATGGCTGCAAAGTGAGTGGGGCTACATCACACACAAAGCTATGTAGGGGGAGTTTGGGGATGTTTTGTTTCTTTTTAAAATGTAATTTATCTATTTTAGAACTTCCATTACACTTTTCATGTTTCTCATCTCAAAATGGTAGGAAAGTGTTCTGACAGTTTTTAACAAATATCATATGGAAGGGGCATGATGTTCTATTCCCTGATCAAACATCAAATTTGCCACTATTAGGTCTTTCTGTCATCATTTTATTCATGAATTCATTTATACAGAATTTGTTGAGAAATATCATTTTGGAAATGGCTAGATAGGCCATTAACATCCATTTAGAAAGCCTGTATTAAATTTGTATCTGTACGTGCATGAACCTACAGATGGCTGATGTGATCGTCCATCAAACCTTTCTCATGGCCACGAGAGGAAAAAATATACAAGCTTCCTCTTCCAATTTTAAACAAAAATTATTACCCTCTGATGTCTAAACTTGGGGGATTGTGATTTGTTTAAATATTGATAACAACAAACCAAAATCTAATCCTAGAGTTTGTTAATTAACTCTTTAAACAAATCACAGTTCCTTAGCTTTGGACATCAATGGAAATTGTAGTTTCCTTAAAATTGGAAATAAATGCTACTAATCCCTATAAGGAAGAGAAGGTAACTCATATAGGCTGGATGAGAACCATAGCTTTAAACATAATCTTGACTGAGTTTCATAAGAAGCAGCTCTTATGAAACTCAGTGTTTATGACATGTTTAGATAATGATATCCATTTCTAGCTTCTAGCAAGATTATCTCAATAGAAATCATCATACATGTTTTCAATTTAATGGTAAATTATTGATTTTGGGGGGTATTTGTGAGCTATAGTTACACGCAAATATGAGTATTTTCATCTTTATGATTGTTGTCTTAAATGAGTTGTGCCTATATTGTAATTAAGTTGTCAGATGTGGATTATAGATATAGCATAAGAAACATAAGCTCTACTGAGTAATTTGGTTTTATCCAAACATTCAGAGGTGGTAGATTTGACCATTTCTGGTTAATGTCATTTTCACATGTCTTATGCAGAAGTCTGATTTGCCCTATTATTTGTCCAATTATTTTGACATTTTCAAAGATCTTCAATTAAGCATGAATGTATTTAATGAAATTCCTATCTGCATACTGCATGTAAAAGTATGTATCCTGTGCTTAAAAATATGAAATGAACAAAATCCTAGAACATCGCTATTCTAAACCCTGTTTCATGAAAACATACATATTTTAACTAAATAGTTCTAAACTGGCTTTTCATAAGTTGACACTAAGTATGCCATCACACAATGAATGCTCATTTACACTGTTTTCAAATAATGACCCAACATTTTGCTGCCTGATGTGGGGTCTAATCCTGTCTTTATCTTTCTCTGCATGGAGCCACTTTAGTAAATCAGTTCACTGTGTTGCATGACAGGACTGGACTTGCTTGTTTTTTCAGTTCAAAGGCACTTTTATACTTTTGTAACAGCAAATATCTCTTTCATGTAACTACACATTTATGCTTTATTTCTTCTAAAGGAATTATTGTTCCATACCTCACTGCCCATTAAATGTTCATTTGGTGAAAAAAGATCAAACCAATTTTCATTTTTTACTACTACAGGAACCTAAAAGTAATAAGAAATTTAATTATTTTATTAAAATATAAATGAATTTTTAATAATAATATGAAAGTTTATATATTTCAGGGCTCAAAATTATACATCAAAGTGCATCTCAAAAGACTTATACACTGATTAATAAAGTATGTTGAACAATATACATTAAGTTGGTAACAAATCAAGTATCAAGAATACTGTTAATATGTAAATGGACAAAAAAGTATGAAGGGGGCATTGTTTTCCATGATGGACATATTCTTTTTTTCTCCTCTATTCTTATACTCTGAGGAGAACCTTAAAAGCCTCCAAAATCTCTGAACAAAGATGACAATGGAATAAATATATAAACTATTGGAGGAAAAAAAGAAACTGGATAAATTCTTAAATTCTGATTTAAACAATTGTGTCCCTTTAAACTTTCATTGAAAAAAAGAATACATTTTTTCTCAACCAAAAAGGTTCAAACTGTTGTAATATTATTTTTCAAAGTAAATATTGCTTAGAATCTTCATTGAAACACAAAAGAAAAGTTGTAAATTTATAGCAGGCTGAGCAGAACCCCTCCAGAGCAGACTGAAGCTATAGAACAAAAAGCTGATCTATCACTGAAATGAATGCACTGGATTTTACATTTTGAGTATGTATAGTTGACTACAGCGCTACAATTTATAAATACATTGCATCAAATGTATTGATGATCTACCAAGCAAACAATTGATTTTGATTATTGATTCATTTTATAGCTTATTTGTTGTCAAATAATATATATTTGAGCTTTAACTCAATTTGAAGATAATCCCTTTGTAAAACTTTGGCTGGGCAGGAGGACAGAGGTAATGTAAGTTGATATATATACTTTGATTTTAGCATTAATATTACACAGGTGTAGAAGACAAGGAATCACACCCATATTTTAGATGTAGGTCTTTAATTTGAAGGACACTTGAATTTAGGGGTAATTAAGTTCTATGCAAGGATATAGCATATCTTTATGCATCACTGTTTTCCTCCTAGGTGAATAACATCAAGCACTTTGTTGTCTGTTGGCAATAGTGATTTCACTCAATCACTGGTGTTCTATTATTCCAATCCAAAAGATTAAAGCAGGCCCTCAAACTAGGAAATAGCCAGTCTTTGGGGGAGACACTCTTTCTTTCTAATTCTTCCTTATATTCTCCTGTCTCTCTAAAAGCTACTTATGTCTCTCTATTTCACATTATTTATATTCTAATCTCTAATTTTAACCGAATTAGATTCCATGCTTGTTCATCAAATTCCAATTGCTGCCACATCGCTTATGAGAGAGCAACTTCTTTTCCTTTAGTCTTCCAAACATTATGCATGTTACCTATTATCTCTTTGGGTCTTCTGATCTTTTATTTTTCTTAACCTTCTCTACAAATTCAGTCAATTAGCTTTCAGTCCCATTGTACTTTTATCCCATATTATACATTCAGTTTTTCTAAATCAATAAATACTATATATATAATTATTTATTTATATTTTATTTTAATATATTAACACATCATTCTATCAGAGATAAAACAGATAATACTGTAAACTATTTTTAGAACAAAACATAAAAAAGAACCAACATTTTTAATAGGATGCAGCTAATCATAGCCATACTCAAATAGGAAAAGAAACATCTCACTCTTTACTGATTCCTGAACAATGGTTAGCTTTGGTCCAACGACCCTCCCAACCCACCTCACAGGGTTATTATTGTACAGAAAAAAGGAGATGGAAGCATTATGTACACCACCTTGAGCTGTACAAATAAAAGTGGGATATAAATATATTAATTAACTATGCCAGATTCCTGTATGAAGAACTCTCTGCTCTTCTTCTTTCCTTCCATATATGCAAGATGTTACAACTATATTGCTCTTCAGGGACAATCATGCAAGAATAGGGTCATCCAGGAATAAAAATTGTGACCTGAAACAAAGGACTATTAGAGGAGACCAACCTGTATCTTCAGTCTCCTTCTCATTGAACAGTGATTAGCATAGACAAATATAAAGCTGCTCCAGCCGATGTTACTTGGTTATAGTGATGTTGATACAGATGACATAGGCATACCAGAGTTTTAATCAATATGTACTACCTGATTTACAGTAATGAAATGAACAGGTAAAAGTAATGATTCTCTCAAGTCCATGTGCTTTTCTTGGGAATGATACAAATGTGATTTGCCATTGCCTTCTTCTAGAATGTTTTTTCGACTTTCTAATGGGATTTCCTGGGGGTCTCCTATCCAAAAACTATAAACCAAATTCCAGCCAGATTAGCAAATTTTGAGATCAGCAAGAGTCAGCTATGTATTGCCACCTTTGTACTAGTGAAACAAAAAGAAGTTGATATTTTATTCATTTTTATTATTAATTTTTAAACAAATACAAATAATAAAGGCAATACAGAGTAACAATTGCAAAGAATCCCAAAACAATCTGACTGATTTCATTTCAACGATTTTCACAAAAACTATATAGCAAAACAGAAAAACAAAAGTGAAAGCTAAGAAAAAAAGATGAAAAAAAGAACACAGAGAAAAAACATTACTTTTCTATAGTTACAAATAAGAATAATATAGTTATACTATTCAGTTTCAAACAATGAGTTGAACATGGACTATATAGAATTATAGTCTGATCTTGCCTCTCCATCAATGCAAGGCCATCTCAAAAGCTGAGAGCTTACATATTTTGTTTAAAATCCAGTAAACATATGTATTTCAAAGAATTCAGAATAACCTTTTTGCTACTATCCAGGCATAATATATACAGACATTTTCATATACAGACAACTTCCAAATTTTTGGAATATAATTTAATATCATATTTACATCTTTGAGTCTTCACTTCCTTCCAAGAACTGGATCCAGCACAGTATCAACCTCTAATAATTAAGGTCTTATCTAAATGGACATGCCTAAATCATATGCACTAAAGTTCCTTCAAATTTATTGCAACTCCAACACAAAAAAGATAAGAACCAACCTTTTGTAAACATCTGTTGAGGAGCTCTATATGAGTTTTAAATTTATAAGAAATATATTTCACATTTCTAGAAAACATTGGTTTTACAGTAAAGGATATTCCAATTCTCCATTCCAAATTATTGTATATTATCCAAGTTAAAAAATAAAATTTTAAAAAAGGAAATCAATATTTTAAATAGATAACCAGAAACTAGGTACTTCTTACCTTATTGATTAAAAATTCTTGAGGTCTTTTCCAGAAACTCACTTTCAGCGAAGGGGGAAGTTCGATTTTTCCTTCTGGATCTTCAAAGACATGCTGTATGCAACATTAATTAAAACAAAAATTAGTTGAATTCTTATTTAGTCATATCTGGACCATATTAACTGAATTTAGTGGGACTTTAGTCATGGCTAATTTACTGAACTGATATGAGTTAATCTAAGCATTATTATATCTAAAGCAAATCCTAATAGCTGCCTCTTTAATGCAGGATTGGTAACATTTCTGTGGCTCTGAGTCACACTTTTAGTTTGGAAGGAGATATTTTGAAAGCCACAGGGCATATGGAAGTAATGTCACCAGAGGGAATGGGCCCAAAATTTTGGGTCCATATCTTTTTGGCCTGTGGATGGGAGTTTAAAATAAAATAGGTGTGTCAAGCCTATTCTACATATTGAGTCTCTAGAAAGTTTTTTTTTAATTATGCCACCAATTTTGGCAATTAATTACTGAATTATGATGTGACTTTTTTTTCTAATCATATCTAATATATCATGACAATTACAACTACAGGTGTCTTGTGTAGAGTGTTTGCAATACCTTTGTTGTCCATGATAGGCAATGAGGGCACTGATAACATACTACATACAGTACATACTGTATTTTCTACTCTGTCAACACAATGGGCAGGATGTTAACAGACAAAGCAGCTTCTTCACCATCTACCACCCCTCTGCCACCTTCCTCATTTTTAGTGATAGGATACCGGGAACAACTATTTTAAGTGGTTCATTGCCAAATTAAAAAAATTACCCCTGACTCCACTTTAGAAAATGCATTTTCTCTTCAAATGTTATTAACTCTAATTTTATATATAACTAATTCTTAAAACCCCAAGAATAAGCTTCCAGAAACTTCCAGCTGGAGTTGGAAAGGAGATGAAACTTGTTGTTGCATGGTGTAAAATTCCTCACATCCTTTTCTATTGCAAACCTGGCAGTGGGGAGTGCAGAAGATAATCCCTGACCATTCTGTTTCAGAAGCAAAGAAAACTGAGGGATAAATCTTCATTGGGGCATGTGCATTATTCTGGTGACGATGGCTTTTTAAATGACAGTAAGAGCTATCCAAAATTTCTGGAAACCTGATTTTAATGCTTACTGATTTTAATATAAGGCACAACACAGATGTAAAAATACTTAAAATTCTCTAGTTACAGTCTAGAGATATTCTGACTGTACTGAATATTGAATATTGAAAAGTCAACTTCAGGAATTATTGTAGAGGCCTTTTATGATGCTGGTAGCTATTTAGTTCTTTCATGCCTAAATCAAGGGTGTTTCCCACCATCACTTGACAACTCTCTATTGCAAAGGACAAGCAAGCCATTGACAGAGAAATTTCAAAGTTGCAACTCCTCTAGGTCTAGCAAGCTTCAAAGGGGGAAACCCACCTACAATGCTAGAAGAACCAACAGAGAGTCCAAAGGATGAGCTAAAGGAACATTCCAACAGACCTATAGAACAAAAGACAGATTCAATGGGCTGCCCCGATCAAATTCCGGATTATCTCCTACAGTCTTAGGAGCAGATTCTTAGGGAAGAATTCACAAAAATCAACTATGACATCACTGGCCCAAGTGACACACGTGCATCAATCAAAGTACACAACCAATAGAATAATAATAGTCATGAAATACACACATGCACAGAATAATAATAGTCATGAAATACACACATGTCACATTGGTAGAGTTGACTCATTGTTGCCAACCAACATGTGGAAAACATATACAGGTAGTCCTCACTTAATGACCCTAATTGGGACTGGCAACTCCATCGCTAAAAGAAGCAGTTGTTAAGCGAAACATCACTTAGTGATGGCAGTTCCAGCAGTCCCCGTTGTGGTCGTTAAGCAAATCACCTGTGGTCATTAAGTGAGATATCACATGACCATGACTTGCAACCTCCTGCCTGACTTGCAACAGCTTCCCTGTTGACTTTGCTTGTCAGAAGCTGTCTGGGAAGGTTACAAATGGTGATCATGTGACTGCAGGACCCTGTGACTGTTGTAAATGCACAACGGTTGCTAAGTGCCTGAATTGCGATCATGTGATTGTGGGGACACTGCAATGTTGTAAGTGTGAAGACCAGTCATAAGTTACTTTTTTCAGTGCCTTTGTAACTTTAAACAGTCGCTAAATGAATGGTTGTTAAGTGAGGACTACCTGTCTTCTCCCCATGTCTTGCACAATCCTAAAACTGAAAATAAAAGGCAGAAATACCCAATACTCTTTATTCAATGCTATGCTTCCCCACCCAAGGGTTACGATGAAACTGAATATTTTTACAACTCAAACATCACTAGCTCAACCAGCCAAACAATAGATCATTATAGGAGACATAAATACTTTGGTAGGCTCAAGACAAGTGCATGAAAACATGTGGGCAAATTGTCAGGTGATGAGTAAAATGAAAATTGTGAACAATTATAAACCTTTGCTGAGCTGCAAAAGATCTATGTAATAAATACTTTGAGAAATCAGCAGTGAAGTGCTGGATTTGGCACTTTCCTAACTGGGAAACTAAAGCAGAGACAGATCACAAACTGCACTGATGCAAAATTCATCACAAATGTTGAAGTACTGCATCAAATCAACATTGGCAGGAACCACAGGCCAATCCGAATTACACTTAACATCAACATCTCTCAATGTCTGTCCTCAAGAAATATATAATAGTAAATGCAACTCAAAAACAAATTCTAAAACAAAATTGGAAGTATAAAGCAAATGCATTGCCCTCCCAACTATATGAACATCAAAACAGTTTTTTAAAATGTACTGCAGCAGCAAAAGTTCAGAAAATAGCGGCAAGAGTCATTTGCATTAGCAATAAATCTAGAGAGTTCTTAGCAGAGAGAAGGAGTTCAGATAGGAAAATAAACTTGATAGGATTGCACTCTGTGAGCTGAATCAATAAATAAGGCAAAGCCTAAATGAGGACTATGAAAATTTCTGAAAAGAACTCATGAAAACATCAGAAATGAGAAGCATCATCATACAGATCCAGAAGAAAATGCAACAAAAGACAGACTCAGTGCTTGCAAAACCAATTCTGCCCATGCCATGAAATGAAACTAGGTGAGGAGCCAATAGAAGATGTCAATTTTCTAGAACTACCTTGGCCAGGAGATAATACCACATATTTAATCAACCAAGAAATAATGCAGTGAACATCATAACCCAAGGGGTGGACTTGGAGATGCCAACAGATTGTGGCACAAAAAACACTGGAGGGCCCTTGTTTTCCCCAGACACAGCACTACCAGGCTGCTCTATTGGCAGTACAGAGGCCTCCACAACTGACATGGGTGCCAGGCAGTATGGCAAAGCCCTGCATCCCCCAAAAGCAGATGGCTCATGAGAAAGCAGCAAGCCCCACCTGGACCTGAGAAACTGGTTGCTTCATCTAGTATCAGCTGAGCAAATTCAAACACCATCACTGCTACTTCAGTCACTGGAAGCAAGTTCAACATGCAGCTCCATGCTCCATACTCCATCTCTGATTCCTATTGTGGTCTCAACCTTGGCTTGTTCCTGACCTTGATTCTGGCCTACTCCTCAGCATTCCAAAGGCTTTCCCTGCTTGCACATGCACACTATCTGCATCCTACTGTATGTCTTCTTGTCACCAACTTCTGACCCAAGGACACTCCAAGTGAGTGAGTGATTCCAGCTCCCTAGCAAGCTCTTCATGAAGATGCATGTCTACCAATTTCTCTGGTGTTTGGCAAAGCTCCTGAAATCAGACCACAAAACCAAAGAACAGTCACATAGCTTTAACCAAATGAAACCAATCCTACAACAAATGGGAAACGCCAAAGCAAGGGTGGGTACCTTCAACACAATAGTTATATTAGCAATGATCAATGGCTGTAAAGTGGAAATGGAAAAATAGAAACTAAGAAAACTGGAAATGGAGAAGCTTAGAGTAATACAGTGTATGATGGAGAGGTGAATAGAGACCAGATCTGAAATGTAGAAATTTGACCCAGAAGCAACTTTAAAGATGTCATCAAAGCAGCAAACAACAGCAGAAATATGAATGTTTAGGACATGTTACATGCTTGTATGGCAAAAGATGGGCCCAAGAGATGACTTACTGATGGTCTTATAACTTTCTATGATCAGGAGATCTCTGAGAAGGAGAAATGAAACAAGGAAAAACCTTGGTTCCAGTTGGAACACTACAGCATTGTAGTATATGTGAAACTAACATCTGTTGGTATCATTGCTTTGGGAATTAAATGTATCCAAATGCACACAGTAATTATAACATCAAAATAAATACTGTAACAAATTTTTTTTCTTAATTGTTCTCATATAACTCATATGAGATGCAAACTTTCCAGACTGGCATCCAAGTAAAAGGTGACTAAATTTCAAAGCTTCAACAGATAAGAAAAAAGCAATATGAATAAATTTCTATATATTGATGAATTACAAAAAAAAAAAAGGTAGGTTTATAGGAAACTTACTAGAACAGGGCTTCTTCCAGCTTTATCCTTTTCCTTTCCACCTTTTCCAGCATCCCATTTTTCTGCATTGATGTCTGCTTCACTCCATTCTGGCCAGATAGGAAACTTTCCTTTCTTTGACTCAGGTGAAGCACCCTGAGGATTTACAGTAGAGGCTGATCCAGAAAGAAACCAGAGGCTGAAATACAATATGAATATGAAAAGAACTTGTATTTTATTCTTACATGGCAAACATTTTCATATTTGCTTTCAATTTTTGAAATGTTGCTAAGTACAATTAGTTGCTAAGTACAATTAAAACTAAGTAGAAAAATGGGAATGTGGTTAATTTATATTTCAGCAATCTATCACGTTCGATGCCTTTTGACAGACAAAAGAAAAGTGCTTCCTGAAATCATGTAGTTATACTGTGTTTCACTATTAGACTGAGGCTCCTGATATCTTTTAATTTATCTACGAGAAAGCCCCCAAGACTAATCAGTAAAGGGTGAGTACAAATGAAACAATATTTGATTTTGCAGGGGTTGGGGTGGAAAATGAAACTGAGTTGTACAAAACTTAAAGAGGAGCTGTCTACTGCAGATGTGAAGTAAAAATGATTCTGTGCTTCAACTTTATAAAAGTTGCAGAGTAGGATATTGTATAAAAATTAAGTCTACATCATTGCATTTTCAGATTACAGTACTACATTCAGATTCATAAATTAATACACTTGCTCTTAGCCAAAATAATGTATGGATATAACAACCTATAAATACACATTTATTAAGTAAGCTTTTAAAAAACTAAACTATCAAATATTTCTAACAATTTTTTTTCTCCAAATGACATTGCTTATACCTATGAGATGTGTAATTGGCACTCACAGCCTATTGTTCCAAGTCTATTTTCTAGGCAGCAGGAACAACTTTCAAATGGTCACAATAACAGCATGATTTTTATTATTGTAATTTGATTCATGTTGATAATGTATATTATTTTGATAGCAAAATAATGGTAGCAAAACCTTTTCAGTTCTGTGTCCTTATTAATGGTTTAGCTAAAAGAGATATACAAGAGGATTTTTAAATGCAGAGCACTCATAATATATCAAAGTAAGAAAATGAAAACAGGTGGCTTACAACATAACAAAATGTATAGAACTTCCTTTGTGGTACTTTAACTTTGTAGGAAAACATTACAATTTTGTTCCAGAGAGTAATTTTTTTGTCATAGGCAAAACACATATTGGACAAAACATAGTGTTTCCATCCATTCAAATCCAGGCATCCAAGTATTCATTATATTTAGTATTTTTCTGGATTAGCTTGGTATGAGTTTAAAAAATGAATAATTTGAACATGTCTGCGATATGAGAGGGTCAGGGTTTTTACATTTTGCTTTTGAAATGGGCCTAATGAGAATCAAGGCCCTCAGCACTTACTATTAATGGGAGGCAAATTCTTGTCAGTGCCAATGGGAGCTTTTCCCAAGTGCAATGTGACCATAGTAGGGGTAAAAAATTAAAGCCCATCCCCATCCAGATTGCAATCCCAATCTGAATCTCAGTTCTAGCTTTCAAAAAAATTCATTCTAGAACTAACCATATGACAAACAAATCTAGTTTGGCACTAAAAGCCATGTAACATGTTATTTTTAAGTCATGAAAACCACAGTTTTTGTCAGTTTGTGTTTTTAAATGCACTCCTCAATGTGAGATAGTTGTAATGTTGCAAAAAGTCTGTCATAAGCTTCACTTTTTATGATATTCATAAATGTATCTATTTTGCATTAAAATTAAGAATGTTTAGTATACACAAACACCGAAAATAAGCATGATCCAAGCATTCATTGTTGATATGAAACAAACTAAAAGTCGTAACTGGGCAAGATTTCCCAGAGTATATGATAGAGAGGAATGATTTTTATTTTCTTATCTAAGAAAACTAATTTTCTTCATACATGGTTATGTTTTATTTGGATAAATAAAGAGTAACATGAGAACTCTACTGAACGTAGACAAGTGTTATTTAACAGACCTATTCAATTCTGCACTAGGGGAGGGGTTGATGGGCATGGGCATTCACATGGAAATCAATGGAAACATCTGCCTCTGAGCTGTATAATAATTCTTAAAAGCTCAGATTTTATTTTAAAAAATAGCTAATCTCTAGCCACTCTGGAACCTAAGATACAAAGCAAAATATGTGTAATATTCTGCTTTTTTCTGCTTTTCAGTATTTTTAGCCAATGGAAGAATGATCAAAAACATGATCGATATATCCTCTCTCTAAATAAACTCAAAGTTCAGTTTAAAAAATCACAACTGGCAAGTGACTGCTGTCTTATTAAAAAAAAAATCAGAAATCCAGAATGTGGATGTAGCTGTGATTGTCCACCAGACAAAAGGGAGAAAGAAGTGTTTATAATAATGCTTAGATCTTATCTCTAAAAAAATTGTAATTTTTCTGATTTTCTAAACACTTATTCCCCCCCCCCCACAAGTTAACTTGTGAATGAATGCACAAAGTCTATCATCCTCACATTATATACTTGCTGCAAAAAGTAGGTTAATGATTAAGAAACTGTGAGTCATTCTGGCCCTGCAAGATAATCCATTATTTTGATGTTCAATGTGTGTGTGTGTGTGTGTGTGTGCTTATTTATTTATTAAATTTGTATGCTGAGAGTAGTGGGAGGAGAACAGTACCATTCTGTCCAGTAGCTGAATCTCCTATACTGTTTTTGGTACATGTATGGATGAAGCTGACTGCAGTAGCAGTGCAATTTATTATTGAATAAAATCTGTGGTGTTAAGCATGGCTGCATGTGTTTCTTATTTCTTTCTGGGTGGGGCCTCTCCCTCTCTCCTGAGCAGGCTTTGATGCTGACACAGTATGGCATACGGCTACTCAGGAATCAGTATTTATTCTTGTATTGTAAGTAACTTTGACATGAAGATACATAGGTTTTTTTGTGTTTTAGGTGAAAAGATGACAGGCATGTCCAACACCACTCCTTTCCCTAACTTTTTCAAGTATCCTCCTGTTATCATTTTGGAAGAACTGGCTCTTTTAAAAGAGGTTAGACACTTTAAAGATCACAGCAGTACCCGGAGAAGAACAAAGACGACAAAAGATTGAAAGAAGACTGAAGAAAAGAGGTGAAGGATGGTGGGAAAGTGATAGTGGCTAGAGAAGGCACCACAGTGCAAAATGTTAGCAGGGCAGGAGTGTGATCTTTATCATCTCTTATACTCTTTTTATCAGAATTCTGCCAAACAGCTTCCTAAGTTCACTTAGCGAGCTAACCCCCTGTAGTTTTACATTCAATCTTGCTACCTTTCCCTTAGAATAGGAGAACAGTGACAGCATTCTTCCAATTGTCATGTATGGATGCAATCTTCACACCCATTTTAAACAAGTTGTACAACCACCTCCTAAGCACACCACTTTCATTCAGATCCATTAAAACCAGCCTCTTTCTCTTAATTTCACAGACACATAGTTTATCTACTTTTCTTTCATTTCATCTGTTAATTCAAGTTTTCACAACATTAAATACTTTCTTATATGTTAGTTCTTATTTATTTATTTAGACAATTTATATGGGCACCCATCTTATATACAAAATCTGGGTGGCTAACAACAATCCACGCACACAAAATATAGTAACACCCCTCTCAACAAAACAAAAAGCAGAATTAAAATCATCATTCACTAACTGAGCATTATATAACAAACTCTCAACAGAATCCACACCTATACTGGGCTCATCCAACATCCCAGTCCAGTGCCTGCAAGAAAGACAGGTCTTTTTGGCCTTCAGGGCTCACATCTCAGAGACCCTGTTCCATAGGGCAGGTGATGTGACATAGCATATTGACCAAAATGTGCAAAACTGATCAGGACTACCCTTACTGTTAGTAAGGAATACTGCAGGTGGTATCAGTGCAACTAAGGCTGGTAATGTAGTCTAGCTTTGTTTCTGTCACAGTGAAACTCCAACATTCTACTTCACAAAACCAGGCTCCCTTCATTCAAATCTATTACCATGCATCCTCACCTTTCTCTTTAGTTTTACAAATATACAACATATCTGTTTTTCTTTCTTCCAGTTCATTTGTTAATTCATGTTCTTTACCATTTTCTCTTCTTATAACCCAAGTTACAATCTTCTATATGTTGGGGTCATTAACAGATTGGCCAATGACATCCACAAGGGGGATCAAAAAGTCAAGATGGTAGTCACGACAATGCTACTGAAGCACTGTCCTTTTTATATGTTTGTCAACATCACATACAGTACTGTGCAAAAGTTTTAGGCAGGTGTGAAAAAATGCTGTAAAGTAAGAAT